CTGGACAAGCAGTGCGGCCCGCGCCATGTCGCTCTGGCGCTCCACAGGATCAGCTGTTCATTGGTAATGCAAGAAGCGAAAGAAGCCGAACTCGCCCGCCAAGTTTTCGGCTTCATTCCTGCCGCTGCCGTGCGGGAGCTAAACGCCCGCGGGCGCGCCGCCAGGTCTTCGGATGGCCGGCGGGAAAGGAAATCAAGGCGAACCTGAATCCGCGTAGGACGTCACTATGCAGGACCCCCCCGCAGCCCTCGAAAGTGGAGACAGTTTCGCTGATCGCAGCCCCCCAGAATCTGCGTAAGGCGTCACTCCGCAGGACCCCCCAACAGCCCTCAAACGTGGCGACAGTTTTGCTGATCGCAGCCCCCAGGGATGACGAGGTCTAAACTGAATCTGCGTAGGACGTCACTCCGCTAGAGCCCATAGCAGTCTTCAAAAGTGGCGACCAGTTCGCAGATCGCAGCCCCCCAAGGATGCCGAGGTCAAATCTGAATCTGCGTAGGACGTCACTCCGCTGGACCCCCAAGCAGCCCTCTCAAGTGGCGACACTTTCGCAGTTCGCAGCCCCACAAGGATGGCGAGGTCGAATCTGAATCTGCGTAAAGTGGCGACTATTTCGCAGATCGCAGCCCCCTAGGGATGGCGAGGTCTAACCTGAATCTGCGTAGGGCGTCACTCCGCTGGACCCCCCCGCAGCCCTCAAAAGTGGCGAAAGTTTCGCAGATCGCGGCTCCCCAGGGATGGCGAGGTCTAATGTGAATCAACGTAGGGCGTCACTCCGCTGGACCTCAAAAGTGACGACAGCTGCGCACTTCGCAGCCCCTCGCAGGGGTGCCGCGAGGTGTCGGCTGGATCTGCGTGCAATTCCATTCCGCTGGACCCACCCAGGAGCACACGAAAGTCGCGAAAGTTGCGCACTCCGCGGCCCCCCAGGAGCCGCAAGGCCTCGACTGGATCTGCGCGCAACTCCACCCAGCTGGGCCTCCCAGGGACCAGCGAAAGTGGCGACAGGTGCGCACTTCGCGGGCCCCCCCGGGAGCTGCGAGGTCTCGGCTGGGTCTGCTCCACTCCGCTGGGCCTGCCTCCGACTACCCACCAGACCACCCCAACCCAACCCGAAGACCCGAAATTGGGGTTGGGGGGGGTACGGAATCCAGATGTGTTCGTTCAGTGTTCCTGGACCCCCCCCGCCACTGGAAATGGAGGGCAAATTGAAGCCCTCGGGTTGGGTTGGGGTGATCTGGTGGGTGGTGAGCCTCTCCGGAGCCCACCGCAGCCCCGCAGGGGAGCCGCGAAGTCTCGGCGGGGGTCCGCGCGCAGCTCCGCTGCGCGGAGCCTCCCGGGAGCCCCACGAAAGTGGCGACGGTTGCGCACCTCGCAGCCGCGCAGGGGAGCCGCGCGGTGTCGGTCGGCTGGACCTGCGTGTAACTCCACTGCGCTGGGCCTCCCAGGGAGCCCGACAAATTTGGACGGGTGCGCACTTCGCAACCACCCCGGCCACCCAGGGAGCCGCGGGGGTCTCGGCTGGGTCTGCGTGTAACTCCACTCCGTTGGGCCTCCCCAGAGCCCACGACAAAGGCAACAGTTGCGCACCTCGCAGCCCCGCAAGGGAGCCGCGGGGTCTCGGTTGGGCCCGCGTGTAACTCCACTCTCCCATGAGCCTACGAAAGTGGCGACAGCTGCGCACTGCACAGCCATCCCAAGAGGGGAGAGGAGAGGAGTGACGGAGACGTCGGTGCTGAGGAGGAACAGGAGGAGGAGGAAAGTGAAGCAGAGTATATTAGAGTAGAGTAGAGTAGAGGAGGGGAGAGGAGGGGAGGGGAGAGAGGAGATGAGAGGAGAGGAGAGGAGAGGAGAGGAGAGGAGAGGAGAGGAAAGGAGAGTCAGAGGAGAGGAAAGGAGAGGAGAGGAGAGGAACGGAGAGGAGATGAGAGGAAGAGGAGGAGGAGAAGGAGGAGGAGGAGGAGACGCGAGGAGGACTAGGGGAAGGATACGCGAGGAGGAGGAGGAGGAGGAGGAGGGAGGCGGGAGCTTCGCACAAGCAATGCTCTGTTCAAAACGAGAACCCAACACAGATGGGTTGGGACACATCTATGAACGCTCTTCCAACGTTGCCCTGATGCTTTAACCCCCCAAATCTGGCTGGGGTCCGAGTAAGTGTGGTCGGAGGATCACGCCGCAGCGCCGATGCATCGCCGATACACCGGCGATGCATCGGCGACATTGGCGATGCATCGGCGACGTCGAGGTGGATACAATCGGGCTCCAGGTCGAGCCGCATCGCCGCTGCATCGGCGATGCGGCGCGAGCCTCCAATCACATCTGCTCTGGTTCCTTCCGAAAGGCCTGAACTGATCCCTACCCCCCCGCCCCCGCAACCCTCGGCCGACGGCGGATTGGGCGCCCGAGTTATCCAGGGTAACTCGGGCCCGGGGTCACTCCGGCTTGGATTCCCGAAAAACGAACCCGAGTTAGCCCTGACCCGAGTTGCCCCTGATGAGTTGGGGCTCTGGACGCACGAATTCTCTGGGGTGACTCGGGCCCGGGGCAACTCGGGCTCGGAATCCCCAAAAAACCAACGGGCCGAGCGAGCGGGCTCTGAGCGGACGGGCCGGGCCGAGGCGGCCGGACCAGGAGCGCTGCCCCTGGCCCAGACGCGTTGTGCTTTGACTTTTGCTCCACGCGCGGTCCCCAGAAGTCGGGCTTCTCGTCGTGAGCGTTGCTTCATTCGGCCTTTCGACATTGGGCGCAAAAGAGAGGGGGAGGGGGCTCCGGACGCCCGCTCAGTGCGACTGTCTGGAACCGTGCGTCCTGTTGGGGGGGAGGCTCCACCTGCTCGAAGCAGGCGCCCAAAGCAGCCGAGATCTACTCCCAGGGGGGGAGGAGGAGGAGGAGGAGGAGGAGGAGGAGGAGGAGGAGGAGAGGAGGAGGAGGGAGGAGGAGGAGGAGGAGGAGGAGGATCTGCTCGAGGGCAGCGGCGTGCGAGGGCCCGCGCCGGTCGGCAAGGCAGTGCGTGAAGACAAGGCCGCGTGCCCTGCACTCTGCTCCGCGCGCGGCCCCCCAGAAGTCCGGCTCCTCGTCCCGCTTTGGACGCCAGATCCCAGGCTCAAGGTGCCTCCTCGCCCTCTTCCTCCTCCTCCTCCTCCTCCTCCTCCTCCTCCTCCTCCTTCCCCTCCTCCTCCTCTTTACTATCCAGTTTGCTCAAGCGTTGTGTCGCAGGCATCCTCGGGTCGTCGCCGCCTCGCCGATGCCGGGTACGCAGCCGAGCGCAGAGCTCCGCGGCGGGGCTGTCCCCCCTACAGGGGGATTTTGGACGAAAAATGAAACATACTCCAAAACAATATTCAAAAGATGCCCAAGAATACTCAACAAATCGTCCCCAGACCGCTGTTGAGTATTTTTGAATACTCCCCCTGTAGAGGGACAGGCCCGACTTAAGGGTGCCGAAAAAATGGGTACGATGCCCAGCAACAAACGTTGTCCCGAACCAACAGCGGCCGCTGTTGGGCACGCGGCCTTCTGTCTCAAATGTGCACAGGCCGCGGCGACACCAACAGCGAACCCTGTTCAAAATGAACAGGGACCGCTGTGGGGCATTGCGCCCATTCTTTCCGTACCCATCGTTCGTGCAGACTCATCCCGGGCCGTTGCTTGACGGCCCCGGGGCCCGGCGAGGGCCCCTGAGAAGGGCGCAGACGGCCAGAAACCCCCGTCGTAATTTTTGCTGGTCCCAGCGCCCCTCTGCTGTTTTTTCGGGCCATGCCCTGACCTTCCAGGAGGGCCAAAAGATAGCACCAGACAGACATAAAAACCTATCACAAGGTTTTCTGCGTCCTGGTTTTAAGATGCTTCGTGCAGCTTTTAGGCCTCCAGAGCCCAAAAAAATAGCTCTCTGGAAAATCAGAGTCGCTTCTTCGGCGGCCGTTCGGGACGATCCGGGTACCCCCAGAACGCCGCCGGCGAGGCGCAGCCGCCAGAACGCACCCCGAGGCTGGATGGGGACCGACCAAGACGCCCGACGAAGCCTTGAAATTCGGGCCTCGAGTGTGTGACGCGAGCATGTCTGAGCACCCATTTTTTCAGGGGAACGAGCAGTGACACAGGCATAAAAACTTGGAGGTCCGCGCGGACCTCCGAGTTTTTGTTCATGTCGTTGTTCGTTCGGGGGTCTCCTTACCTGGGTCAATGTAAATCTGTGTCAGTCAAGCCTTCCAGAATCCTGCAAGATCCTGCGCCCAAACCCGGGTCAACGCGAAGGATCCTGCAAGATCACGCACTCAAACCCGGGTCAATCCGACCCTGGCCCTGCAGGATCCTGCAAAATCGGGCGCTCTGGCTGACCCCAGTTTGCATTGACCCCGTCCCTTGAGCTCCAATTCGTTCCCTAACTTTGGGCGCGGGTCGCCAGCGGGCGGCTGACGGGGGTGCCGGGGATCTGACTACTTACCGCAAACCACCCCATCCCAACCCGAAGACTCGAGTTTCGGGTTTGGGGGGGTCCGTACGTGTTCTTTCAATGTTCCCCGAAACCCTCCACTGGAAATGGAGAGCAAAATGAGGCCTTCGGGTTGGGTTGGGGTGGTTTGGTGGGTGGCGACTTTGTTCTGAATCGAGATCGGTGGGTTCCAGGTTCCCGGGTTCCCTGTCGATCACCTTATCGATCTCTATCCGACGATTCATAATCGATCTCATGCTGCATCTCAAATTTCATTTCACTCCATCGATCTCAACATCGCTCTCATCAGACCATCCACTGATTGGGGTTCGTTCTGCTGTGTAATTCGTTGCGTATCCCCCTGATCGTCCTATCGTTAGGTCATGTCTCCTTACAAGCGGATTTGGGATGAACGATACAAAATAACCCAAACACGCCCCACATGATCAAAGACATTAGAAACATCGTCTCCTGATTGTTGTTCACTCTTTTTGAAAATCCCTCCTGTAAAAGGACACGCCCGACTTAACCTTATCGTTGACCCTGACTTATTTTGGGCGCCGGTCGCCGGCGGGCGGCTGACGGGGGTGCCGGGGATCGTGGCCAGGGCGCTGCGGAACCGCGGCGCCCGAGCGCGCGCGGAGAGCAGCAGGCGCCCGTGGGCCTGTGGGCGGACGTCCTCGGCAACGGGCGGGCTCGGCGGCAAATCGCGGGAGCCCCCCGTGCCATGTGCACGGTTTCCCCCGGGGCCATTGGCGACCCGAGGAGGAGGAGGAAGAGGAGGAGGAGGAGGAGGAGAAAGAGGAGGAGGAGGAGGAGGAGGAGGAGGAGGAGGAGGAGGAGGACGGCGACGAGGCGGAGGTGGAGGTGGAGGGGTGGAAGACCATCACTTGGCTGATGAGGGAGGCTAAAGATTGGCCGGCCCGACCCTGGCCCAAAACCTCGTGGCGCTGCGCCACCAATGTTCTCCACCGCGGCCGAGGACGAGCCAACTAGCCGCAGAGACGGCAGAGCGCTGCTGACGTTGAACAACCGGAGAAAACAGCAGAACGCTGCCGACGCTGAAACCAAAGAGGGCGATGAAGGGCCTTGATGCGAGAGAGTACACCTTCCCCCTGAAGCGTGGTGCCTGACACACGTGCAGACAGCGCGCGCACATACACACACACACACACACACACACACACACACACACACACACGCGTGCACGTGCACGTGACAATCACGAGGCGACGCCAAGACGACGAGGCACCGCCGGCCCCTGGTGTAGAGAACGCCGGGACGGTGGCAGGCCTCGCCCCTGGTGTGGGCCTGTCTACAAACAGAGGGCGCAAAAGGGCCTCCTTGCGCCGACGTCAAGCGAGGCCGCGGGCCACGTCTCGTCCCACAGGGCCAACTAGGGGCCGGAGGCCCTCGGCGGGAGCCCGACCCCGACGCAGGTGCCTTGAAACCATGAGACTGGAAATCCTCCCCCGTGGGAATCCGCACCACAGGACGTAAGCCTTTCTGGCAAAATGGCAAATCCGGATGATGGCTCAACGTCGCTCTGCCATGGCGATTAGAGCCCTGGCGGTGCTGCGCTGGGGCGGCACCCGGAAGTAGGGGTGGTGGCCTGGGAAACCACTTGGCTCCTCTTGGGCCCCTTGGGGTGCCTCCCTTCACACAAAGCTTGCCAGCCGCTTTGGCTGAATGTGCCATTGAAATTGTCGAGGCACCGATGGTGGAGCCCCTTGAGCGTGCGCTCTTTGTACTTGCCGCACTTCTTGCAAGCAACAGCGAATGGTTAATATTCAATCTTGTCGAAAAAAAAACCTGATGACCATTAGGTCGGAGTGCCAGCTTGGCGGGGCCTGCTGCGTTGCCTGGGCACCGCTCATGCTCCATGACCTTAAAAGGAGCCTCGTTGATCCATCCCTAGGGGCAGACCATGCAGAGCAGTGGCAGACCATGCAGAGCCAACGTGCTCTTCTGACGATGCCAACGCGGGAGGCGGCGCGAACGGCCGTCAGCGCCCGCGGGGGGGGGGGGGGCGCGCCGCGGCGCCAGCACCCCCCGCCCCTCAAGGGCCCGCGCTGGAGTTGGCTCTGCCACGCCACGATACCGAGATAGAAGCGGCACCAACTGCAAAATTGGCGGCTCGAACTGGGAGCAAAGGGCCCTCTGCCTCCAAACCCGGAGGCCACAGTGGGCCACGGGGCGAGGGCTTTGGGGGCGTGCTTCAGGAAGCGTTTCATGCGAGCAGCAAGCCCAGCAGACGCGGCACGCTCCAGCTCCGACGGTTGGGGGAGCCGGTTCGCAGCTATCTTCGCCACCCGGTCAGCTTCAGAGTTGCCCGCGGCGTGCCACCAGCGTCCCGAAAGGGGCTTAAGCTGGCAGACAAGATGGTGGGCTTTGACCTTGTCAACTCGAGCACCCGCCATCACGACTGGCGTCGCCGCGCGCCGCGAGAGAGCCTAGACCATCGAACGTGTTCCTGCTGCTGAAAAACGTAGCGTTGTGGAAATCCACGACGCCTTTGAAATTTGAATGCGTTCTGGTTGTGCCTCTGAATTTGAATGCGGCGAGGCAAGCTACAAACTCGGCCGCTGGCGAGGTCAGGGGGGGGGGGGGGGGGGGGGGGGGCGCCCCCCGCAGGCCCGCGCAGGTAAGCCGAAAGGGGGCCACCGGGCCCCAACTTTCTGAGGGCCCATCCGGGCGCGTGAAACCAAGGATGGCCATCCTTGGTTACACCGCCGTCAACGCACACCTCCCGCCGGAAGGCCCCCCCGGGCGAAGGGCCCTCTGCGGGCCAGAAATCCGAGGAATCAAGACCGAGGCCAAGGGGGCTGGGGCACCAGGGCGTCTCAGAGCGCCCGGGCCCGCGGGATTCAAGAACTCCTCTCGGCGGGGCTCTCGCACTACATTCCTGGAGCATCTGCCTGAGGTCATCATTCGGGGCGCCGCAGATGCGCTGGGCGGGTGGCTCGCAGCCTGCCTCTCTGAGGCGGCTGAGGGCCCAGGTGAACTGGACGAGGAGGACGCTGCGCTCGCTGCTGGGCAGGCAGGCCCTTCCTGCCGAGCGCCTGCAGGGCGCAGGACGCATCGATGGCGTCGGAGCCTATCCTGCGCGCCGCCACGCCGGCAAGGTCCTCCTGCCAAGCTGCAATCAGGGAGCTCTTCAAAAGGGCTGGCGAAGCGGTTGGCAGCGGAAGCCTCCCCCCTGCGTGGATGAGCCCAAGTCCATCCTGCCCCCGATAAGTGGTTACACTGAGGGGCCCGAGCGGAACTTGAAAGATTTGGCGAAAATTGCCCGCCGATGTTGGTGGCAGGCTGGGTTCCCCGGCTCCCAGTTCTGAATTCCCGGGTTCCTAGCTGCTGGTTCTGGGCCGACTTTCGCGGGTTCTGGGCCCCCGGGCCCCCGGAATTCCAGTCGGTCTCCTCAGCGAAAACCACCCACTGATCGGGGTGTTTCTGTGGTGAAATACTCTGCAAGCTGAGGTAGGTAGCTCCTAGAGGGCCTCTAGCACTTCCCCATCTAGCAAGCGGGGGCTCGATTCTGTTGCTGGCGAGACGGCGAAGTCCAGAAAGGGCTCCCGCAGCCTCGATGGGGGTTTTGGGAGGCTCACCAGGCAACCGCGCTCCAGTAGATACAGGGCCCCAGAGCTGAGCGCCACGTGGGGCCCTCCAGGAGAGCCGAAGAAATGCTGCGCGAACGGGTAGCGCGCTTGGGCCCAGCGATCTTCAGGAACAGATCGCGGGCCTCCGGAAGCTCCATGCCTTCCCCATCGGAAGCTCCATGTCTGATTATTCCAAGACCCCCGATCCAAAATATCCAGCTCGTTGAAGCCCTGTGTTCCAAAACTTCCTAGAATCAGCACCTGCCATTCTTAAGGGCACGAAGCCTGCGTAGCCGAGGCTTAAGCTTGATGGCTCGCCCTTTGAGTGTCCTCCTGGCCTTGCTACCTAGTCTAGCTCCTGCTGTAAAATCTACACCCAGGTTGGCTGCTGAGGGTTCGCGGCGGCCGTCGGCAGCTGCTGGCCCAGCCCGCTGCCTGGGGCGCAAGACGAGAGCAGCCTGGATCGCGGGCGACGGGGCCACGACAGCAGCCTTGTGCTCGGCGGTTTCACACTTAAGATCATGGACGATCGCGCGATGCATGCTAGCTGCGAGTTGACGTGGTCTCTGATGAGGCACTTCTGGCTGCTGCCGTGGCTGATCAACAGGAATCAGCTATGAAAATATTCGGTTGCACTCTGGGGTCGCTTACAAACCACATGCCGACTGGCGGGAGACAGCACTGCTGCACCACAAACGTCGCTGCCTAACAACCCGCGGCGATACCTCGCCGGGGGCGGCCTGCTGGCAGGGCGGAAGTATAAGTGGCAAAGTGGCGGGGAGCTTGGCACTGGTTACTCATGCCAGGGAGTCCGAACAAATCGTTTCCTCGGCTCCGGCTCTCCAGAAGCCCGATCCACATTCGTGATAGTTCGAGGGGTCCAAGAGAGCGGCCCCAGGGAGGACCTCGTGCTCCTGGAAACTCCCCATCGGCATACATGGCCTGATCAAGACCCACCTCAAGAACTCCTCTTGCCTGGCCGGTGTGCAAGATATCTCCCATGGTACTCGCGCCCCCAAGCTCGAAACTCAACTTGACGATGCTTGCCCCCGGATCTCCAGAGCCCAGGCATCATGCCTGTACCACGGTAGCTTGGACAAGGGGTGGGGCCAGCTTTGTGCTTTTCATTGAGGGCGGTCACAATGGCTCTGACTGGGGTCGGTAACCAGCCTATCCTCTCGATGGCCCTGATGAACCTGCACAAGATATCCACGCGCCAGTCCCCTCAGGAAACTGAAGTGCCCGGGGTGGATCCCGCCCGAAGTCCCGCGGTCGCGCAGAAGCGACGAGTGGCTTGGGGGAGCTGCTCTGCCGATATCTGTTCGAAGCCGAGGCCTCTCACATCAGCTACAAGAAAATCTGGCTCCTGCGGCGCTGCCTGCCGCCTGTTCGAGAGACGCTGCCATTCGACAACTTTACGAGATCCACAGGCCGACCAGACCATCTGGAAAATGTGCGCTTCCGAACTCGGCGAGGCTGCCACGAGGTAGGCCGAATGGGCCAACTGTGGGCCCACCCCACCCCACTGCCCATGGCTTCGTTCACCCATAATCCCCAGGCAGCTTCGTCGCCCTGGCGGCCCCGAGAGGTCTCGCGGCCCAGGGGCGTCGAAATTTCACGGTGTAAATCGTCGAACACGCTGCCGATCAGCCCCCGGTCGGGACAGCCCCTGGGGGCGCCCAGGATGGCGCGCGCACGCGCGCGCGCTGTTGAGGAGGTCAGAGAACTCAGCGACCTGCTCGAGGGAAGCTGGCGGCTGCGCTAAGCCCTGCTGGGCCTGGCACAGCTCTTCCAAGGACTTCCCCCCGGCGCCCCTCCTCATATCAATGATAATATTCCACGGCCATCTGAGCGCTGCTGCCGAATTCCCCCTACTCCTTCTACCCTGGACCTCGAGCGCGGATGCTGGTGCCCAGCGGACCGAAGGCACCGGCGCGCGGCGGCGCCGACTGCGCGGCGGCGCGGCGGTTGAAGAGGTGGACACGTCGCCCACATGATATCCATATGCTCGGCCCACTGCGCCATTGAGGCCTGCATTCGAAATCGGGCAATCGGCTCGTGAGCCACCTTGCTGTAGGTGATA